TACTATCACCTACCTCGCAAGTGTTCCGTTCTTTTCCTCGTTCCCCTACCTACGTGTTTCCCCCTAAACAAGCAAACAAACACAAGGAACCCTAGTGGCACAACAGTATGGCTAAACCTTAGAAAACCCCACGGAGGCACTTCTGTGCTGTCACATGGACTTCCTGCGAGGAGAAAGATCGACTGGGCCCAGGACAGGTCACAACAGCGAGAGAAACCACACAGCGGAAGCACAGCGGTGAGCTGCACTCAGACCTTTTCCAACCTGGCTTTCACTTAACTCAGAAGAGGATGACTCTTTCTTCAGATCGGAGGGAGGACTTGTCTCCTCACCCTTTCCTTTTTGACCCGCCCACCAGGGAAAGTGAATAAGCGCACATGGAGGAACTCTAACTGGGATGAATTATAGGTCTTAGCACTCAACCAACACAGTTAACTGGGTGTGAAGGCAGCCCCCCCTGCAAGTCAGGTGGATGCAAATGAAAAGCCAACAGCCCAGCCCTCCTGGGGCGTCACTGATCAATTTCAATGCGAGGACTGCGGCTCTGGGTGGAGCCAGGGAGTGTAGGAAAGGGCCCCAGTGAGATCTGGAAATGAAAAGTGCTTGTTTGCGACGGAAGAGCTGGAAGGGAGGGTGACTTGATGGCCACGGCTCTCTTTTATGGAGGATGTGATGAGCATGCAGGGGAGTGGGCTCCGTGGGGGAGCTGGGCGCGGCCTCTTGCTGCCTGGTCAGCAGGCAGAGCACGTGTGTGTTTGGAGGGCTGGAAGGGGGGAGCTGTGTCCTGGTGCGTGGCGGCGTGTGCACTTTCTGGGGAGGCTGCTTGCCCAGGGCGATTTCTCTAAGGCTGGGCTGCTGAGCAGGCCCAGGCAGGTGGAGAATGTGGGCCCAGGAGCAGCACAGCGCAGCCACCTTCAGGGACCCGCTGGTTAGGGGCTGAGGGTTCTGGGGGCCCAGTGAGAGGACACTTGGCTGAAAAGATCAAGGGGTGTGCTGCGCGGTGGCTGCAAGGAGTGGATAGGGGGCTGGAAGGGAGTGACTTGGCTCTAGTCAGTTCTGCCTCAGACCCAGCCCTGGGGCCCTGGACTTTGGAGGATCCAGTTTATCCCTCCCCACTAAGGAATCCAGGAAGGCCTAGAGACAAGTCCAGTCAGAACCTGCACCCCTCTTCTAGACCCGAGGCTCACAATGTCCGACTGCCTTACCTCAGCACAATCCGCCTCACCTGCGAACAAATGAAAAATGCAAATCATGGGCCCTGCCCCAGCACTGGGGGTGGAGCAAGATTTGCATTTCCAGCAAGTTCCTTTGTGGTGCTGATGCTGCAGGAGTACCTTTTTTGGACAATTCTGATACCTGAGGGGCTGAATCTACTGATAGCCACTGGCAGGTTTAGTGGTCTTGCGAGCTGCTACTCCCACAGTCTAGGACTCAGGTAGGAGGGGTGGGGGGTGAGGGGCAGGGTGTCACAGAGTTCTTGCCCAAATAGCCCTAAGTCCTCTTCCTGGGCATATGTACCTTCTTCAATGAATCTGCCCTCCCAAGACATGACAACACCACTGATGGACACGCTCCTAGGAAGCCTGGACCTGTGGACTGGGCTGTCTCCCAGCAAGCAGAATAGACCAGTGTGGAATGGAGCTGGGGAAAGGAAGAGAAGCCCCAGCTGCAGGCTGAAGTTCCCATCTGCACTCTAGCTCTGGAACCAAGCAATGAGAAGGGTGGTTTTGGCAGAAAGACCATCAGAGGTCCAGGGATTAGTAGAGCTCCTGATGACCACCATGAGGGTGACAGAAATGTGCCTCAGCCATGGAGAGCAGCCTTTTATTGGCTCGAATTTTAAAAAAAGAATGAAAGCAAAAACCTCCCCGTATTCCATGGGAGAGAAGGTGATCATTATTCTTGACACCTGCCTAAATGCTCTGCAGCCAGTGACTCTATGTCAAGGTTTTTAAAAGCAGACATGTAAACGGTTCCCTAGGGGACACTCCCCCCCAATTTTATTTTAAAACCACCAAACAAGCCCATTGTCTTCAAGTTGATTCTGACTCATGGTGACCCATGTTGTCACAGAGTAGAAGTACATAGGGTTTGCTTGTCTGGATCTTTCCTTTCTTTCATGGTGCCCCTAAGTGGGTTTGAACCGCCAACCTTTTGATTAGCAGTCAGAGTAGACTATCTGCATCACCCACAGACCTTTCAAAACAACAAACAGACTCATCCATGCCTTTGAGTTGGTTCCAACTTGGAGCGACCCTAAGGGCAGAGTAGAACTGTGGGTTTTCCCTGTGCACTGTGGGTTTCTGAGACACACACTACAGGAATAGGATGCCTCATCTTTCTCCTCAAAGACCTGTCAACCCTAAAAATTCGGTCTGGCCAGTATTTCCCCCTCCCTGCTACCTCGGCCACTCTTGGTTGTTAGACTCCAAGACCTGGACTACTGTGGCGGCAGTGAAGGCGCTGTTGGGGATTAGGATTAAATAGCCCCGTATGGATCTAAGCCTCTTTTACTAGCTGTCTAACTTTGAGTAACTGACTTAATCTCCGGCAGCTTTGCTGTTCTCCTTTGCCAAATGGGAACACTATGAGCACCTACATTCCAGAACTGAGTTCGTGCATAAAGTAAGGATTAACAATATGGTAGTCACTGTAAACATTTAGTTACTGCAGCACGTGATGGCTTCCAAACTCAAAACTCAGTGCCACCAAGTTGCTGATGTGGACTGACAGCAACCCTGGAAAACAGGGTAGAACGCTGCCTCTGAGTTTCCAAGACTGTAGCTCTTTCAGGGAGGGTGGCTGATGGTTATGAATTACTGACCTTGTGTTGCGTGAGGGCTTCGGTTTGTCTTGGTCATTAAACTGCTAGTCTGGGGAGACAGATGCAAACAGCTTGAAGGGAAGCCTAAGGCCACAGATCCGAGACGGGCAGTGGCTGAGGGTTCTCAGATAGGGGCTTCTTCAAGGGAGTCCAACTCACTCAGTCACTCACTGTCACCGAGTTGATTCTGACTCTTAGGGGTCCTCTGGGACAGAGTAGAACTGCTCTATTTGGGCTTCTAAATATTTATAGAAGCCTTATCTTTTTCCCATGGAGCAATTGCTGAACTTGTGGTTAACAGCTCAACTGGTAGCCCACTGCGCCACCAGGACTCCTGAAAAGAGTGGACAGGGTACTCTGCCTTCTCCCTGGTTTTAAGATGACCCTGACCGGTTTGAAGGGTTTCTCATCCATAAATCAACTGCTGCCAGCAGCCTTCCCCTTTTTCACCTCTAACCCTTTCCACTGCTCCATCTCAGGCCAGGGCTTGTGTGTGAGGACCGGGCAGCCAGCCCTGTGGTCAGCCCAGAGGGAACCGCGTGTGGCTGAGGCCCCAGACCCTGCGGCTTGAGGCTGCATCTGGATAGGTAGAGGCTAAGGTCGGAACCCTGAGCCCAGTGACACTTTTATTATTGAAATCGACCCAAATTTTACTAGCTTCTGGGGAAAGCTGGGGGCTTTGGGGATTTTTATATTTGCTGGGTTGTAAATATTTTATGGGAAAGCAGCCTGGGAAAATCTGGTTGGCTTTTCCGCCTTGCACATTGAAGTGGGGTTGGATTCATGCACAAATGTATCAAAAAAGAAGTCCGGTTTTGCCTTGGTCCGGAAGAATTCACCTTGGATTTTAAAAGACTCTCTGCCCAGTGCTTCAAAACCCCACTTGCAATAATAATAATAATGATAATAATAAAAGACGAATCTCAGGATTAATGGCAATAACAGGAGGATTTCATATTGGGTCTGGGGAGGGGAGGGACTGTGGAGTCATGGGGTGGGGTGGGTGGGTGGTGTGCCTCGAAGCCTCTGGGGTTAAGCTCTCTCTCTTCTGGATCATCTTGGTGGAGAGGTGCTCATGTGCCACCTGTAGACTTCTGCAAACCACCTTGATTTTCTGTTTTGTTGTCCAATGGTTGGTTCTAAGAATCTTTTAAAAATAGAAGGAAAAAAAAAAAGACACACTTGGTAGCCCTCATTCTGTCTGCCTTCGGTTCAACCTGAATGCCCCAAGAAAACAGCCTGATCGTAGCACGGATGTCTTCAGACCACTGGGTTTAAACTAGGACTGCATCTTTAAATCATCTTGGAATTAGAGTTTAAAGGAGAGGGAGAGGGAAAAAGGCTAGCAGAAAGCCCAATGCCAAAGCCCTATCCTCCGATATTGATTCCACTGGTCTCGGGCCAAGTCTTGGCTTTGGGAGTTGTAAATTCCCCAGATGATTCTAATGTTCAGCTATGATTGGGACTCGCTGGCTCTTATTTTCTCCCTTGTTCCTGGCGTGGGCTCTAGGTCTCGCCTGGGCCTTTGCACTGTGGTGAACAGATGGGAGATGGATGTGGACATCCTTCCAGCTCCTGTGGGGTAGGCAGGAGTGGGGTGTTGTTTGGAAAGACAGCGCACTAAGGAGACACATATAAAGGAGGTAATTATAGATAAAGCCAAGTGCTGGGAAGATAATCAACCAGAGCCTTGCGATAGTGTCTGTGCGCAAGAGGCTACTTTGGATAGGTGGGTGGAGGGGGAGGTGTTGGGGGGGATGGGATGGGAGGGCCACGCAGAGGAGGTGAAGTTTGAACTGAGACGTGAAAGATGAGGAGTCAGCCCAGAGCAAGACTCGGGGATGCAGGCCTAGGCTCTCCACCACAAAGGTCACCCTCGTGGTTAAACAGCTTCCGAAGGGAAACCCGGGAGGCCGCCACCTCTCCAGCCACTCCAGTGGCCACCGACTTCCGCCCTGGGCGGCCAGAGCTGGGCATGGGGAGGGGGCAGGCCCTGATGCGCGCCCGCCCTGCGCCGTGGGGAGCCTGGGGGTGGTCGGCCTCGGGGCTGGTCAGCCTGACCTCCTCAGCCTGCCTGCTCCCCGCCCTTTCCCTCCCTCCCGGGGGCCCGGCCGCCAAGCACTGGGCTGGTTTCTCCCTTAAGTGAAACTGACTGTAATTATTTTTTATCTCGCAGACGATCTCTCGCACACTCCTCTCCGGAGACAGAAGTATTTGTTTGATGTGTCCACCCTCTCAGACAAAGAAGAGCTGGTGGGCGCGGAGCTGCGGCTCTTTCGCCAGGCGCCCGCAGGGCCCCGGGGGCCGCGGGCCCGGCCGCTCCAGGTGCAGCTCTTCGCCTGCCACTCGCCCCTGCGGCTGGACGCGCGGGCCCTGGACCCCCAGGGGACGCCCCCGGCCGGCTGGGAGGTCTTCGACGTGTGGCCCGCCCTGCGCCACCAGCCCCGGAAGCAGCTGTGCTTGGAGCTGCGGGCCGCGTGGGGCGAGCCGGGCGCCCCGGAGACCGAGGCGATCGCGTCGGCGCC